GAGATTCACCTAAGCCCAGGAGGTTGAGGCTGCGGTGAGCCATGATCATGCAAATGATCACATTTGCAGGGCCTCTTTTGCCAGATAGGCTAACATTCGCAGGTTCCAAGGATTAGGACTTGAACATCTTTGGGGAGCTGTTATTCAGAATACTATAGCTAGTGATAGCCCTATTAGAAATGAAATAGAAAGCTGTGCTAGAGACGGCCTAAAACACAACTTCAGGTTTCATGGTCAGGGAAGGTCTTTCTGAGACCCCATCTAGGCCAAAAATCAAATGGTGGAAAAGAGGTGTGAGGGGACAGGGAGGAGAACATTCTAGGCAAAGGGAACAGCTAGTGAAAAACAGTAGAGTCAAAATGAGCCTGGCATGTTGGAGAAGTTAATGCTGCTTGAATTGGAAGAAAAGTTACAGAAAGGTAAATGAGTTTTCAAGTCACATTTACTTTCCAGAATAAGAAAACTTAAAGCTGCATCCTGTCTCCGGGTATTTTCCATGAAAAGTTTGCTCCAAACTACTATTACGAGCAAGGACCCCTTTTATCACGGACACCCCTGGAGCACCCACCAGGACAGAGTCCATCTCAGCAGGCCACACATTAAGTTCAAAAGAAGACATAATCTCCCCGAGGTGAGGATTGCCTGAGCCCACGGGTTCAAGAATATCTTGGGCACCTTAGTGAGACCTCATCTCTACAATAACTAAAAAAATTAGCTGGGCGTGGTAGTGCACGTGCCTGTAATTCTGACTACTTGGAAGGCTGAGGCGGAAAGATCTCCTGAGCCCAGCAGGTGGTTGCTGGGGTGGCTGTGAGCGTGCCACTACACTCCAGCTTGGGCAACGGAGTGAGACGCCAACTCAAAAAAAAAGAGAGAGAGAGACATAATCTCCAAAAGAAGTGCTTGTTTTGATTGTGGCTCTCAAAATCTTATGAATACTGTCACCTGCAATTGTATCTTACTAACTTTGTGAACATACACAGGAGTTTTGCTACAGATGCTCCACAACTTACAATGAGGTTACATTCCAATAAGCCCATTGTAACTTGAAAATATTATTAAGCTGAAAATGCATTTACTACACTTAATTCACCACATTATAGCCTAGCCTAGCCTGTGTTACACATGCTCAGAGTATTTACATGAGCCTACAGTTGGGCAAAATCATCTGGCAACACTGTCTACTGTATGGTATCAGTTGTTTAACCCTCATGGTTGAGTGGCTGACCAAGAGCTCACTGAAGCTGCCGATACTGCTAGAAAGTATCCTCCCACATGTCACTCGTCCTCAAGAAAGATCAAAATTCAAAAAAGTACAGTTGCTACTGAATATATAACACTTTTGCACCATCATAAAGTCCAAATATCGTAAGTTGAACCATCATAACTGGGAACCATCTGTATTTAAACTGAAGGAGGAGCTCTTAGTTGTCTGACCCTGGGAAAGCAGAGAAGCCAGACCAGCTCTTCCTCAGGCCATGTTCTGTGTAGTTGGAGAGTGACTGCCAGGCCTTCTGGGCAAAACAATGGCTGCCCTCTCTTCTTCTGAATCATTCCCTTCTATTGATTCACTTTCCTTTGCTCTGAACAACATGAAGTCCAGAACAACTAAGACTGTGGATTTTCAAGTTTATGGGAAACCAACAAACATACCTGAAGAGTCTAATACAAACGGCCTTTTGAGATTACGCCCACTTTTTTACCTTTGGCATCAACTGACTGGACCTCTCTTACAGTTTTCACTGTGCTCTGCCTTAAATTCTATCCTTCTGCACACTATTAGAGGCATGGTTCTAGCCCGGTTCATTCTTCACACCTACAGCCCCCAGTAGACTGCCTGGCACAGAGAAGGACATCAATACTCACTTGTTATCTTTCCAACACAGACCTCCCTGGCATCTATGTGTCAAGCACTGAGCTGGGAACTGTACTGCTCTTAACGTCGGTGCAGACCAGGACCTGATCATTCTCAGAGGCTTCTAAAGGAGCAGACTGGTCATAACCAAGAAATCATTTCCATAAAGAAGATTTAAATATCTGTTTGAAGATTTGCATACAATTAGAAACCTGGTTCTTTGATCAAATTCCAACCTCAGCAACCAGATCGGACCATCTGAGATACTTGCTGATGGTTTGCTAATCTCTGTCTTTTCTGGCTCTGAACCACAGTACTGAGCTGTGGAGTGTTAAAGGTTAAGCCTCTGCTCTCTTTCCAGCTCCTCGGATGACTGCCTGGCAGCAGAGGGTGAAATGACCTCATACATCAGAAGGCACCGAGGGAAGTTTTAAGACAAAAGGTGATCTGCAAAATCAAGGGGGCACTTTTCAAGTTTAGATACAAACTAGCAGACTTACCTGAAGAGCCCAATACATAATTGTGGTAATTATAAAGTCATGAACGCATCTCACATATGCCAAATGAAACCCAGTTGGCAAATCTTATGAGCCAAACACTGTAAATCTGTTAAGGAAGGAGACAGCTGCTTCCACTGCCTGAAACCTAGAGCCAGTGTGTTATTTTCCCAACACCCAAGAACACATAACTTCTTGGTTCCCAAGCATGATATGGTTTATAGCTTGCAAAACGATAAGACTGCCCCCAAGTCAAGTGGTTGTTTCTGTTCTAAGTCCAGAGGTATTTCATACTCTTGGTGTTCCCATCTGGGCCACACAGTGCCTTCTTTGTATGCGTTTTCTACTGAACTTTATCCTGGGAGCAGTCTCATATACTAACAGCCCATAAAAGGTGCAATTGCACCCAGATAGGTGTCTTAAAAAATCAGAATAAGACCTCCTGCCCTTGGTGGGTGGAGGTCTTGAGTGAGAAGTGGTCGTTCCTACTGTGAGAAGGATGTTCCAGGCCCTCAGGGTCTGGGTCACCAAGCCCAAGGTGCGCACTCTGGGAGAGGCCCAGAGAAGGCAGCCGCCCCACCCCTGGGTAGGGCTGGGACTGGGGTGGAGACAGAACAGGAAGCCCCAGGAGCCACACACCTGCACAGACTCTTGAGTGATGAAAGGAAGAGAGACTTCCCCAACACCTCTGCTTACCTTAACAATCTGTGAATAGCACGGTTATATTGCATTGTGTTAAAGGTCGTTCTTTATGTAAAGTTTAAAAATGTACTGACGTTTTGAAAGCCAGATCTTGGCACCTATTAATTTTTTGATATATCAGTAGTTTCCAAGACTACAAGTGGCAGCTCCCTTCTTCTATCTAGGAAAGCCCATGCCCTAGGGTCCCTCAGACCTTTGGGGTCAGTGAGGGGGTGAGCAGGAAGGGGTCAGTCAGGGATATCAGTACAACTGGGCTCCTAAAAGGCAGCGCTTAAGGGGAGTACACAAGAGCGCTAGAACCACAGAGACTAAACGCCCCATCATGGGTCCTGATGAGAACACCAAGAGTTTGAGATGCATACCGAACTTAGGACAGAAACAACCACTCAGACTCGAGGGCAGTCTTGTTTTGCAAACTATAAACCATATCACGCTTGGGAACCAAAGGTTTTATGTTCTTGGATGTTAGGGGGAATGACATACCGGCCCTAGGTTTCAGGCCATGGAAGCAGTTGTCTCCTTCCTAGACAGATGACAGCAACAGAACAGCAAAGCGAGCAGCCCACTCCAGACGAGGTCCCGGGCCAGGAGCTCTGGGAAGGCCGCGAGAGGGCGCGCCGTGGCCGCCCCGCCCCGTCCGCCTCAGGTAGGTGACCACGCCCACTAGACTTCTGGCCCCGCCTCCTCCCCGTCCATCCGGCGGCTGCAGCGGGAGTGCCACGCCCACCCCGACACGTC